CTTCGACTTGTTGGGCAGTCAGCCTTCTCAGAAATAAAATAATGGGACCTCTGTCTTAAGCTGTTTAGTAACGCCTCCTATAACTTGGTTATTTTCTTAAGATTTGGCTCTCCATTCCCATTTTGCTGTGTGTCAGGGTAAATTTAGGACATGAAAGCTGGAGGAAGCATACTTCCACTGAGAAATGAGAAGGAACAGGAAAGTGAAAGAACAAAAGTGAGTTTCTGGGGAGAAGGAACAGCCTGTGTGAACTGAAGCAGCACATGGCAAGTTCAGGAATCTGATAAAGTTCTCCAGAATCATGGAGGTGATGGAGAATACTGAAGGGATCACTGACAGAAAATTGGCCCTGGAAAAGAAGCATCATGTCATCAGCGACCTTAGTGTGCTACCTGCAGACATTTCTTTTCCTCTTTTCATGGATATGATGGGTGCCCAGGGAAGCACTGGAACACCAGTGTGATATACACAGAGATGCTTGCAAAGGCAAAACCTCAGTGCACTATCAAGGCCCTGGGCATGGGCCAGAGATCACATAGAAAAGAGAATCCTTTGATATGAACTAGGAGACAAACAGATGTGTGATTCATTAGTCATGGGTTAAGACAAAATAGACTAGAAAAAAATCTGACTTTTTGTCTTTAGGGGATACAGAGGGAAAAAAGAATGGAGATTGGGAGACATTCAGTTTTGTAAATATAATTTAATTTGGTTTATCATTGTACCATTGTAACCAAATCAAGTATTGGGTGTCATTCACTTTTCAAGCTAAGGTTAACAAGTTTAAAGTCAAGACTGGCTTGCATGTGGTTTGTGGAAATTTCTGAAACATGACTCATCTCAATCTAATAAAATTGGCCCATATTAATTCTAATGAGCTGTGGTCCACGTAGGCAGTCTTTCAGATCCAGTTAACGTGCTCTCTGGCTACTAGAAGCCTGAGTTTATAATGGCTGAGGATTCTCTGCTTTCTTTTATAACTGACTTGTCGAAAACTTAAATTTAGTGTGGAAAAATTTACTGATTTACCTAGCCATGCCTTTTAATATATGCTTTATCTACCTACCCATCTTCCCCCTTGGTTAAATCTCAGGAGGATGGCTCACATTTCTGGTCCTATTCAAAGGTGGAATGGTTTTAGTGGTGCTTCCTAGTGTGAATTCAGGCTTCTGTCTGTTATCCAGACTGGCACACATCCTCTTTTCTGGATTTTTCTGGGTCAGAACATGACAAAGGGAGATATATTGGCAAGAGCAGGAGATTTTTGTACTTAACTATTACAGCAGGTATGATTCTAATCTGAAGGCCATCATCATCTCTGCATGGCCAGAACTCCAGTGGAGGTTAGCGTTCACAAGAGTTAGACTTTGCCCTACAGTTGCCTGACATAGAAACTTCTCCTGAGGGCAGGTGTAGCTATTCATTCCAACTGAGGATCCCAAGAGAATTTCCTATGGCCATCTAGTAATAATGTTTTATAAATGATAACAGATATGAAATAGAGACCATGTGGTCAACATAGCTATGGTGATACATATTGAAAATTAGGTGAAAATGGGATAGGAATGCATAGAATGCAATAATCTCCTCCCAATAGAATCAAATTTAAAACTGAGAACAAAGACTTTCCCTCACCACAAATAGAAACAATGCAATGGCCTCTTTTTTCTTTGTTTTTTTTCAGTTTTCTATTTAGAGCAAATTCTGAAAATATATAAATTATGCAGCTTAATGCTCAGATGGAAAAGAATTTTCTTCTTGGATTGGATGACTGCATATTTATGAATAGCAGTAAAATTACCCATGTTCTTTTGTATCAAATGTGATACAGGCTAAAATATAAAGGAGCCATTCCAATCATGATAACAGAAAGGGATGAATAACTTCTGTGTATTCTGAAACGATATGAATATTTAGCGATGAAAAAGAATCCAATGTTATGTTTTTCATTGAGGGTCTAAGTTCTTATTTTTTTTAATTTTATTTTTTTGTGAACTGTACAGAGGGGTTACAATTATATGGGCAGGATAATGCATACATTTCTTATCAAGCATTGCAGCCTCCTCCTTTGTTTACCCTTCACCTCCCTTCCCAGCCTCCCCCCTACCTCCCCACCACCCATCCTCCCCCCTCCCCCCCTTTTACTATGTTAAAACAAAACAAAAATCCCTTCTCATGTGATTTAATCTTAACACAATATTGTCCCACTCTGCCTGGCCATACATAGATGTTGTGTTCCCAACTCATTTTCATGTGAAAAGTGTTTAGCTTTGCAGTTCATGAAATGGAATCATAGTTGTTTGCTCTGTGTGAACTTCCAACCTTTATGTCACATTAATTTATGAAGATGACAATGACTGTTCAATTTCCTTAGGTCATGACCGAATAGTGAAGAAACCCAATATGAGATTCTAAAATAGGACTTTTTTTAAAACCTGCATTCTATGAAATCGTGAGTGTGGTTCCCAGGTCATTCCCAAGGCAAAATTCCAAAGCTATTTTTTAATTCATATAGTAGTATTTTCTTTTGGTCTGCATTATCCCTACAGAATTCAAATTTTTATTCTGATCTCAGGAATATTTAGTGACAGCACTTTTCCTGAAAATGAGGTTTCAAGCTATGCTGTGTGTGTCTAGATGGATAATAGAATTCCCTTTTGGAGATTCAAGTTTCATTCATCCAGATGTCTTAAGATATTTGGATTTTGGTGACAAAGGGCAAAAATATCTCAGAGGATTCTCACTTCTTCCAGCATATTTGCCCCATCTCCTCCCCAAAATTCATCATCCTTGCCACAAGAGCCCAGGGATTGTTGGAAAAACCCCTGCTGCATGTAGGTGAACATGCTCTTCTGCTTTTGAGTTTTTCATCTTTCATCTACCTCTTACCAGCTGTATGATATGTGCCATTCATTAATTAATTTTGCAAATTTAAAGCTCAGTGTTCTCACCTTTAAGTTGGGGACAATGGCTCACACATTAAGTGTGGCTGTGGGGATTAAGTGATGGTACAATATAAATTTCCTGACTTATAGTAGATAGCAATAAATTGAGGAGCCTGAGGCCTGGGTGACTTCATCTTGAGCTAGCGATCATCTTCTGAGGTATGAGTTATGCAGCTGACCATGAGCCCAACCTGGGAATGAACAGAAGAAGCAATTCCCCGGGCGACTAGGAACATAAACAATCCTTGGGAAAACTGCAGGCAGGCAGGTGCTGGAGGGCTTGGTGACCCAGCTGTCAGGCCACAGATGGTGTTTGTTTGAGAAAGGAACCCTGCAGTTCAGCACGTTTCTCCTTGGGACTTCCCTGTGGTGGGAGCCAACCAGTTTAAAGTATGTCAGCCCCTTGATCTAACTGACAACCTGTTTCTGGTCCTTTTCCGCTTTGTAGCGCACCAATTATACCATAGAATTGTTTTATGACTTTCCCGCAATATGTAGTGATATGTTACAAGATGCTATGATGTATGCAAAGTCCCTGTCCTCCCTAAAAAGTGTATAAAAAGTGCTGTAACCCTGGGGCTCAGGGCCTCTTAGCCGTCACCAGTTACCTGGTGCGCAGAGGACCAAGCTGGAGCTTGCAATAAATGACTCTTTCGCTGGTGACCTTGATCTTGGTCTCTGGTGGTCTTCGAGGGGTCTCCAATCCAAGCACATCAAAATCATTGCGTTTTCTTATGATTCAGGGGAGAACATGAATTGTGTGATTCCTTAGAAAGGCTAACTCACACTCCAACAAAATAATACGTGAGGACCAAGGGGCTAGGGGAGCTGAAATAAGAGCGGAAGGGCAGAGGGCAGAATGCAGGCATAAAATTCAAGGCATATCCTACAAAATGAAGAAAATTAAGGGATGGAGAGAATGATGGAAAAGTGACACTGATGAGGATACACTGTATTCCTAAACTTTCGTTGAATGGAACTCCTTTGTACAACTAAAGACAGTAAAAATGTATTTTTTAAGCAAGCAAGAAAGGAGTCTGTGTGCCCTTGACTCATGCCTACAATGGTAGCTACTCAGGAGGTTGAGATCTGAGGATCATAGTTACAGAGAGTTCTGAGTTCCAGAGATACTCAATGAAATTAACCAGGACAAAGCCAGAAGCAGAGGTGTGGTTCAGATGGTGTGGCACTAGCTCTAAAAGGAGAGGGGGAGGGAGGAAAAGAGGGAAGGAGGAAGAGAGGATTCTTTGCTAATTGGTCATTAGTTTAATGGTCAATACATTTTTTTGTACTGAACTCTCCCTCTTTCTTGACTTTCTGTTCAAGGTTGATATTCTATCACTTGAGCCATACCTCCATTTCTAGAGTTTTTTGCTGGTTAATTGCGGATGAGAGTCTGCTTGATCAGTATTTGGGGGGGGGGGGGTCCGGTCGTGGGGCCTGAACTCTGGGCCTGGGCACTGTCCCTCAGCTCTTCAGTTCAAGGCTAGCGCTCTACCACTTGAGCCACAGCACCACTTCCAGCTTTTTTCTTTTTGCTTATGTGGTGCTGAGGAATCGAACCCAAGGCCTCATGCATGCAAGGCAAGTGCTCTGCCACTGAGCCACCTTCCCAGCCCCTTGATCAGTATTTTTTGAGGAAGATTTTCTAACAAGGAAAATTCTGAAAGAATACCAAATGAATACAAATGTCAATTTGAAATGTAAAGTGCTATAGAGTTGTTCCCTGAGCACAGGAATGGGGTCTGTCACAGTGTGATACCCAATGCAATACAACATAAGTAGAAATGAAATTATTGTTTGTATCTTAAGAACATTTGAAATGGATTTAGAGTCTGAATTGACAGTGTACAGATCTAAATTCTTTTCTGCATACATACAGAGGGCACTGGTAATTGAATTATTATACACACATATAAATTCACCATATAAATCCAGCTCTATTTAAATTTGATGGTTGAATTGATGTGCATTGGGGAGGTAGGGAGAGAGCAAAGGTTGATGGAATGCATAATTATGAAGGAAGGTAAAATTGTGTCCCTTCTTGTCTCCTAGCCTGAAGAATAAGTAGTAAAGACACCGATCAAGAGTTTAGAAGAGACCAGTGTTTCTCTGCTGTGGAGACTTGTTCATCAGCCACCAGGGGAAGATCCTTTCTTGAACAATGAATATTTACTACAAGGATTCACCGATTCACACATGACTAATCTTGATTTCCAAAAGTGAACAAGATTTCTTTCTTTATTTTAATTTTGTGGCAAATTATCATATTTGGATAGATTTTTAAAAGTTCTTTACTGATAACATATTTAGCACATGTTCTAAATCATAATCTGCAGCAAATACTTGGAGCATTATTCAAACTTACAAAGAGTGGAAACTTTTTAATTTCCAATTTACTCTAGATTTTTCTTAGTGTATAATTATTCCAGGAAATCCTTGCTGATTGTGATGCAAAGCACCTGTATTCAGAAATAAACTCTCTTTTATCATCACATTGGATATGGCTGCTGACAACTAGAACAGAAACTGAACAAGTCACTATTTGTGGAAGATATACAATGGACACATAACAGTCCTTCACCTTCAACACAAGAACTGGGCTTGCCATGGAAGTGAGAAGAGGTCAAGATCAGGGAGGAAACAGGAGGGAAGGGCCATCTTTTCCTTCTGACATTCGACAGTTTCTCCAGGTTATGGCAAGTCTGTTTGCAAGCTGCCAAATCATAGCTTAGGAAAAGAATTAGTTTGCTTGCATGATGATCTTCTTAGGTAAAAATGTCTTCTTAGCAGTTGACTTTGGTAAAAATGTTTTTCCAAAAGGCATCCAAAAGAAGAATTATAAACCTCAGAATGAGATGGATACTTCCATCTCATGATATTGGCCTGATTTGTGGGCTTTAATTAGGAAGCACTAATAAATTGGACAGAAGTGAATAAATCCAGAAGAAACTGCAGCCTTGGGGGAAGTAAAGTCCCCTGTTTCTCCTGCTCTCACTGAAATCCTGTTGCTGAGCCAAGATGCAGACTTGAGAATGCACATACACCCCGCCCCCTGGGGTAGAACAGCCTGGAGAACTGTTGGCTACTTTCTGATGGGATCATCTCTGAGTGTCATCAGAAAGTTTTCTCTAGGTTTAATTCTTCCCTGTGGTGATTGGAGTTGGTGGTATCTTACAGAGTGTCTTGCAAATAAGGTCATGGAGCTTGTATGCAAGATGCTTTCCATGTACCAACTATGAAGGCCTGGTACTGCCCTTTGCACCTTGTTACTGCTGGCAGCTGATCCGCTAATGTCAGGAGTTTCTGAACATCCACTGTTTTCACAGAGAACTGGGGTTGTTACAATACAGTGAGCAATAAACAAAATGACAGAAATGCACAGAGTTGTTATTAAGGTGCCTGTTTTCCCATGTGTAGAAACTGGCACCATTCCCTGGAGGAGGGTGCACTCATGAGGTACCAGCACTGCCTGTTTCTGCAGAAAGAAGCCGCCACACCACCAGGAACACCCTGCGGGAAGGAAGGAAGGTTTGGTGGGAAGGCATCTATTTTGCTGTTTGGTAAAGAAGCACACAACAGAGCTACACACCTCCAGTGATGGCTTTTCTTCTAATGTGTCAAATAAAGCTTTATTTGTCAATTCTGCTGTAAAATAAGCATTGTCAGAGTTAAAAATATAATCTTGATTACTGTTTGTGTTTAGTAACTGAGCTCTTGCCCTGAAGTGTTGTATGTTTATATTTTTGAAAAAACAATCCTTATATATAAAAGTCTAGGAACATAGATTTCTTTTGCTTTACAGAGAAGCTCAGCTAAACCCCTTTAGATAAGCTTCCAGCTATAATAATCAGATTTTTTCAGAGTTCCTCGTCTAAATAACAGTTGCTCTTTGGTAACTTGCCAAGTGAAATTGAATACCCTGAGCTTTGTTTGTTGGACTGTTTTCAGATTTCTTTGTTTAATTTTACCATGCAGATAAGAGAAATTAGAGTTCTAATGTAATATGGACAACATATACTCAGCTTACTCCAGAAAGCACTCATAAATGCTGTTTATACTTTGGGAAGTCTTGAATAGACACATTTCTACTTGGGAAGCTAACTGATTTTCATTCTGTTTTGGTTTGCTTTGGCATGGCTTTGTGTTCTTAATTAAGTCATACCTCACTTTCCAGTTGTATTATGAGTGGAGGGGAGTAAGAGGTAGGGTAAATATTGTCAAACGATTAATTCTGCTGGGGAAGGAAGGAACCTATGCAGATCTTGTTATATTCCTGTCCCATAGAGCCCATGGAGCTGGAGCTTCCCTGGTAGAGCTGAGGACTGAAGGAATTTTCTATAAAATCTCAATTCAAGAGAACTTAGGAGAATTTATATATTTAAAAGAGAAAAACTATCCCAATTATCGATATTTAAAGTATTTTTGCTATCCCACAGTATTTGAAGTTATTACTGTCCCTTTGAAGTGTTGTTGCCATCAGAAGGGAAATGATTTAAAACTAACACAACACACAAGCATAATGGATTCAGAGTGAACTTTTATTAAAAGAGCACTTGTTAAGTGAAGCAGTTTTGTCACCTCCTCCACCCCCCCCCCGACACCTCTCCATCCTATGATGCTCCTCTCCCTCCCATTCCCTTTCCCTTCCTCTTCCTCTCCTTCCTACCCCTCACTCCTTCCCCTTACTTCCAACTCTTACATCTCCTTTCGCTTCCCCCTCTCACTAACCTTCCTCTTCTTCTTCCTCTTCCTCTTCTTCTTCCTCTTCTTCTTCCTCTTCTTCTTCCTCTTCTTCTTCCTCTTCTTCTTCTTCTTCTTCCTCTTCCTCTTCCTCTTCCTCTTCCTCTTCCTCTTCCTCTTCCTCTTCCTCTTCCTCTTCCTCTTCCTCTTCTTCTTCTTCTTCTTCTTCTTCTTCTTCTTCTTCTTCTTCTTCTTCTTCTTCTTCTTCTTCTTCTTCTTCTTCTTCTTCTTCTTCCTTTTATGTAAGACTTGGTTGCTCTACTGAGATACATACCCAGCAGTAGGCTGTCTTCTTAAAGAAACAAATTACTTCTATAATCTTGGTTGTGAAATTCAAATTTGCTTTACCAAAAGTTCTTTCACTTTAGTGCAGAGATAAGCTTCAAACTAGCACCTGTCTCAGTGGCCACAAGTGTCATGGTAGTAAAACCCAAATTAATGAGCTTTCCTATATACAGTCTCCACAGCCCAGTGAACTCATAAACATGGCCATAAAGCAGTCTGCTAAGTAGCAAGACCAGGTGACTCCTTCTGCTGATAGAAAGTCATCAAAGATGTCTCTACTATTGGGATTTGTTTTGCATTTAACTCTCAGGTGACATAGAAACATACTTTGGAAGAATTTTTATACCATTTTCTTGGGGTAAGTTTATTAGAACAAATACCAGAAGACAAAATATGAGATACACACAAAATGAGAATACTCTTGTAAGGAAATGCACTCTGGTAGTAAAGGTAGAGGAGGGGGAGTCTCATTTCTTATAAAACTTATCTTTATTTTTGACAAATCAGTGGAAACACAGAATACTAAAGCCCTAAAAAAGAAAATAGTCTTTCTAAACCACCAAGTGATTAAAAATAACTATACTATCTACTGTCCATCAAAGCTAAATATGCATTCTTGATTTGATCAAGTTATCAAAGGAATTGATTGCTTTTTGTTTGTGACAATAAGAAAGATCTGATTGACATTTTATTGTGGGGATAAAGTTTTTGTTTTCTTTGTTCTAGTTTTTGTTTTTCTGCTTCTTACCTAATTTGCTCATACTCAAGGCATGCTAAACTACCTCATAGGTTTGTTGTGTGGATTAGGTAATAAAGAACAAATGCTTAAAATACAAATCTATGTAAAGACTGCTTTCATTTGTTTGCTAGCTGAAGGTTCGTATGCCATTCAACTGCCTAGATAATATGTTCTAATGATCATGCTTACACATATGGTTTTAAATTTAATACATTGGTCCACATTAGTTACACTGTCATTTGAGAAGCTAAGGAAAGAAGTTCGAGAGCTTGAGGACAACAAGAGCAACATAGATCTTGTCTCAGAAAAATAAACAGATAAACTTATTACACAAAATGAAAGAAATTCTGACAGTTTTCACATGGATTGAGGACATCAAACCTGAGATTATCAAGTAGAGAACCTGGTAAAACTTAAGCACCATGAGCAAAAGGCTTTGCTAAAAAGGGAAGTAAACTTTGGCTTTAAAGAGCATCTGAAACAACTTTATCTGAGTGGAAATGTCCAAAGTTGTTTGTGATTAATGGAAAAATAAGATTTTTTTTTAAAATCTCTATATGATACTGTTACCCTTACTTCCTTCTCATGTTGAATAAAAGATAAAGGAAAGTCACACTAGTAGGGATGTGTATCCATGCCTGAAAGGTATCATTGCCTTGACTGGGTCATCCTGCAAAATTATAAAGTAGTGTTTATTTTATGATTTTAAAGATATAGCCTAGGAAGAAATGGGATTCATATCTTACAGGTTTCCAGAAACATCATCTAGAGGTTCTATGGTATCCTGACCAAAAAATAATAATTTTGCTATTAGCTCTACTTCACTGCTATTTCCCCCTACATGATTCATTATTCCTTAATCACTATTACAAGTAGTGGTTTTATTTGCAGATTTCAAATGCTTTTTCTTAGTTGGTAATTCTGATATTTAAAAGATACATTCTATAATCTTAAAATTTTATGTGTGAAGAGAAATCTAATTTTAATTCCACCACCATTCTAGCTACTATTAGCAGGAACCATGGATTCTAAGATAGTTCAACTACCACTGCCATGTACCAGACTTCTCAGTCAACTTGAGGTATTCAAGTTCAAGCTCACATTTCCTCATGCCCACAAGTTCAGTGAGAGCTAACACTCAAGTTCAGAGTGGTGAGGTAACATATACTTTACTACACTTGGCAGGTAAACCATATTTTTCTGTTTAAAGAAAACAGTGATATCGCTGTCTACAAAAATGAAATCCCACATTGCATCTGTACTTCGAACTCTGTAGAATCCTCTGCAGATTTTCTACTGGAATAATTTCTGCTCAAATAATTAAGTGTCTGAATGTCTAATATGAACAAGTTAAGGTTTCTTCACAGTTGATAAATCAGTGGCTACAGTTTATACTTTAAGATCAATTTTTAAATGTGAATTTGGGTATTTCTCAAAAATTATGTTCGTTGTTGGATGAACTGTCAATTAGGTAATGTAACATTAGTGTAAAAGTTATTATTAGTAATATTCAAAGAATTACCATGTCAAGTAAATATTGTCTCCCATCAGTCCTATTCTGGCTATAAATCATTAAGAATGGTGGGTGCCATTACCTTTCAATGGATCTAGGTCAAGAAAAACAATATTGAATCCCTAACTTCATAGTCAGTTCACCAAATCTGTTACTAAAAACTTAGGGCAGCTAAGTTGACCTTGATCCTGGGGCCTGGCAAGAGAAGAATTCAGATAAGATGAAACAGTAAGTAAAGGTGATAGGAAGGTTTATTAGGAAAAAATTAGATGTTAGAAAAAGAGAGCATGTCACAAAGACATGCCCTGAAAAGACAGCACTTCAGCTTTATCGGCCTAATTGGAAAGTAGACAGCCATGGGCAATAGGTAGACATGTTCATGAACTATTTTCAGCCTCTCACATTTAGTTCCTTTTGAAAGGGAAAGCACACATGACTCCGTTTAGAAGCTTACCACCTCTCTTATTTGGAGCCGTCTTTTCTAATTATCTCTGAATGGTCAAGGTAAGTTTTGTCCTGGAAGGT